ATATATATATATATACATATATATATATACATATATATATATACATATATATATACATATACATATATATGTATGTATGTAGGGTTCACTTTACAGACGCACTTTACGGCTTCCTTTGGCTTGTCTGAATTGCCAGCATCACCATGGTCTCTTGTGCTTTGGGGCCATGATGAAGTAGAATAAGGGTGACGTGAACACAAGCACTGTGATACCTCAGTGGTTAATCTGATAACCGAGGCGGCTTGGAGTGACTAACGTGTGGGTGGGGGGCGTACACAGCGTGGAGACGCAGGACAAAGGGAGGAGCCACGTCCTGGGTGGGACAGAGTGAGATGGCTCTAGATACATCGCGCTGCTTGGAATGGCATGCAGTTTAAAACTTGTGAATTATTTCTGAAATTTTCCATTTAATGTTTTCAGACCGCAGTTGACTGTGGGTAACTGGAACTGCAGACAGTGGAGCCACAGATAAGGGGGGGACTACTGTACTGTGAGTCTCAGGGTGAGGCGATGAATAAAAGGGCGTCCCTCAGGGAACTCAGTTTTTTAACCTGCTGTAGCGGTGACATTGATTAAACACTAATATTTCAGAGAATAGGAAGGCGATTCCGACTCGGTTCACCATGTGCCTCTTCATTTCACCAAGCCCCTACCTTCTTCGAACTGAGTGCATAGACCCCGGCGCAGATGTGGGTGGTGCTTCATTTGGGTCTGTACTTGGCTGGGGAAAACCCTTCCTAAGGTGACCACAGGTGCTGGGGTAGTGCTGTCAGTCTGGGGGGCGATCCCCTCAGCCTCACGGGCTGTCAAGAGAAGTGGGTGTGGTGGTAGGAACAAGACTTGGGTGGGAATCCCTATTCTCTTCCAGCTGTGACCTATTTCCTTGGGTGTAACATGGGGATTAAATTTCCTGCTTTCAAGGAGCTTATAAGAATTTAATGATATGCTCCACCACTGCCACTACCATCGCCCAAGTTTGCTTGTACACTAATATTTCATTGGTGGTAAGATGCATGTGAATTTGTTGCCAAAACAGCAATACACTCTCACACTGTCCAGAGAAGCATAGCGAAATGATCATTTTTGTAGGTCAACATGGCTGAATATCAGCAATTTTATACTTCAATTGAAATTTGGCTTTTTTTGAAGTATGACTTCATAACCATAAAAAGCACATGTGTGAGCTTACATTTTTAAATCTAATTACTTGCATTTTGCTACTTATACCCCAAGATCCTGAGCTCTGAAACTTTAGCATTTTCTTGTGTTCTTAGCTTTAGCCCCTAGTTTTGTGATCTCAGATTTTTCTCTACCAAGGATCATGCTTGTTTTTCTCCCATGAGCCTTGTGTCTTGATAACTGATATCTCCTTACATGCATTTATTAAGTAATAGTCTCTTTCATCTCTGTTTTTTTTAATGATTTATCTACCTGCCGATCGGAACTTCTGATTAGCATAATCAGCATTAACTTACTTTTTCTGAAAGATTTTATTGGGGAATTGGGGGAGGGGAACAGCCAAGTCATTGTCCTTCAGTCTTAGTTGTGGGGGACACAGCAAGCTCAGCTTCAAGTCCAGTTGCCATCCGGCCGCCCGGCAGCAGCTCGTGGCCACTTAGCTCGAGGTGCCGTGTTCAATCTTAGTTGCAGGTGGGCATAGCCCACCATCCCATGCGGGAGTTGAACCCACACCCTTGTTGTTAGGAGCACGTACTCTCACCAGCTGAGCCATCCTGCCACCTGTTGGCAGCTCAGTGGTAGCTCAGCTCAAGCGCAGCTCACTGACCCACGTGGGAATCAAACCAGCGACACTGTTGCTCAGAGCTCGCTCTCTTAACCAACTGAGCCACTTGGCCATCCCAGCATTAACTTTTGACTTGATACAATTTCAGCTAAACACACCTAGGATGTTATCAACATGCATCAAACCTATCTTGAGAAATGGCATAATTGTCTTTGGGTTTTAGAAACAGTGAGAAGGGCGACAGACAATTCTGCCCTAAATACTGCCTTTGAAGGCTCCCAAGGGGGGCCCAGGACCCCAGCTTGGGGACCTCTGTACAGCTTTGCTCTACACCACAGGTACATTTGGAGAGGCGTTTTAATTCCCAATCCCCAAATCCATGGAACCATAAAACACCATTGTGGATGTGTTCCCCCTCGGAGGCCTGTATAGAAGGCGGATATGGAGGAAACACAGGGTCCTCAAACAGTCTAATGTTGGAGGCTCGTTGTCACACCACTTTCCTCTTTGTCCCCTCTCCTTTTTTCTTTCATCTGTCACCATTTCTGGACCATGCTGCCAATGCATAGCCATGGTCTCTTTTCTTTTTAAATAGCTTTATTGAGATATCATTCACATACCAGGCGATTCACCCACTTGAAGTATCAGTGGTTTTGAGTGTTCTGATATGTGCAAGCACAGTCCATTTTAGAACATGGTCATCACCTCAAAAAGAAACCTGTAACCCTTTAGCTATAAACCCCCTATCTCCTTACCACCCCCAGCCCTAAGCAACCACTAATCTACTTTGTCTTCCTAGATTTCCCTGTGCTGGACATTTCATACAAATGGAGTCATTTGTATAACATTTAGGCTTTTGTGACTGGCTGTTTTCATTTAGCATAATGTTTGCAAGGTTCATCCATGTTGTAAAATAGATCATATTTCATTCCTTTTCATGGCTGAATGATATTCCGTTGTGTGGATGGAGAGACCAGATTTTATTTATCCACCCATTCATCTGTTGATAGGCATTTGGGTTGTTTCCACTCTTTGACTATTATGAATAATACTGTCAGGACCATTCATGTACAAGTTTTTGTTTGGACATATATTTTCATTTCTTTTTATTATTATTATTATTTTATTGGTGAACTGTGTGTTTTCCCAGGACCCATCAGCTCCAAGTCAAGTAGTTGTTTTCAATCTAGTTGTGGAGGGCACAGCTCATGGCCCATGCGGGGATCAAAATGGCAACCTTGGTGTTGTGAGAACGGCACTCTAACCAACTGAGCTAACCGGCCGCCCCTATATTTTCATTTCTTTGGGCATATACCTTGGAGTAAATTACTGGGTCAGATGATAATGTTTAATTGGGGAACCACCAGACAATTTGCCAGGTGTTTTGGGGGAGGATGTACCCTCTTTTCACAACATTTTGCTCATCGGCTACCTGTCATTCATTTGCCCTTATCCATCTTTCTGAAGCTGACTTCTGGTGAAGGTGGCAGGAAGTAGCAGTCACTGCCCACTCCACCTCACCCACAGACATTTGCTTAACAGTCCCATCTTCCTGGATTTTTTTAACTTAATACATTTTTTTCCTACCCTGTTGCTGTCTGAGGCTCCGTTCTTCTTTCCATAAATACCAGTGAGCACCTGCTCTGTACTAGCGCTGTCCTAGGTGCTGGAGGACCACGGAGAATAGGACAGACTCCATCCCTGCCACATAAAGTTTACTTTCTGGTGGGAGAGACCAGCGAGCGATAACATGAAGATATAGCCAGTCAGGTGGGGGGTACATTCTTAGAAGGAACACGAATGGAGGTAAGGGGGAAGAGTGGTGGACTCCCTCTTTTGGTAAAGAGGTCTGGGAGGGCCTCTCCAAGTGAGGGAGGGAGTGCTGAGGATACTGGGAACAGCCGTCCAGGAAAGAACTTAGATGTGGGAACTGGGCAGGCTTGAGGACCAGCCAGAAGGCAGGCGTGGCTGCAGGTCAGTGGCCCTTGGAAGAAAAGCCCGAGAAGTTCAAGGGATTAGGCTGGAGATGCCCAGCCTGTGCACCTGGCCCAGCACCACTTCTCTCGGTCAGGAAGCAACTGCCTCTCAGGGCTGAAAAGGACAGAAGTTAGCAATCTCTCCACCTTGCAGGCATTAAAGGCACCTCCCCATTCCCTCTGTGTCTGTGTAGCCCATGTTTGGACAGACTGGGTGGCGTGTGTTAGTGATGGGTGTGGGCCAGAAGGGTGGGAGCAGGGCCTGAGGCTGCACCATGTTCCCTGGGGTTGGCACGCACCCGTGCCACTGTGTATGCGGCTAGACAGAGGGAGGTAATTAGGGAAGACCGTGTGACACTTCATGCCTGTCTTCGTTCAGACTGCTATAAGAAAGTACCATAATGGTGGTGGTTTATAAACAACAGAAGTTTATTTCTCACCGTTTGGAGGCTGGAAATCTGAGATCAGACCGCCAGCACAGTCAGGCTCTGTGTAGAGCCCTCTTCTGGGTTGCAGGCCGCCATCTTCTCGAAACGTGTTCTCACATGTTGGAAAGAGGGCCAGGGAGCTCTCTGGGGTCTTTTATAAGGACACTGATCCCATTCATGAGGACTCTTCCTTCACGACCAAACACCCACCCAAGGGCTCCACCTCCTAACGCCATCACCTTGGAGGTTAGGATTTTTCCACATGTGAATTTGGGGGAGGAGGGTCACACACGTTCAGTTGATCACAATGCCCTTCATGGACTTGCTCACAAACTAAAGTCCCAGGAAAATAAACATGTTTTTAACAGTTTAACATAATACCATATAAATGACCTACGGAAGCAGCTTACTAGGAATGCCATGGCTGGTTTATTGAAGTCTTGGACCGTGCCAGGTCCTTTCTGTGGGTTACCTCATTTCAGTCTCATGGATGACCCCATGAGGAAGGTCCTGCTGTTGTTTGCGTTGCACAAGTGAGGCAGTGAAGTGACTTGTTCAGCTCCTACGCTGGGCTCAAACCCAGGCAGCGTGGTTCCAGTTTATCTGCTCCAGTCGTGTGCTTTCTGCCTTGATCCACAGACACCTGTGAATTCTGCCTTCACGTATTATATTATAGACATCATGGTTATCTTTCTAGTGACTGCATATTAGAAGGGACTTGCATTTTATGCTGAAATCAGGTTCTTAACGTCAACATTGGGTCCCAAATTACCCTTGAAAAGTCCCTGGCCCCCTCCCAGAGGTGGCACCATTTCTTCCCGTGCTGGTTCACGTTGGTTGTCCATTCATTTGTCCGTTGATGGACATTTGCGTGTTTCTACCTTTTTGTCTATGATGAAGAATTATTCTATGAACATTCATGTATAAGCTTTTACATGGATATATATGTTCATGTCTCATTGGCAATATACCTAGGGATGGAATTGAGTTGTTTTCTGATGGTGTCATTGTTTTTGTGAAAACAGGCCCAACCTCCCCTTGTCCCACTGATAAACAGTTTCTCTCTCCTTTCTTGCCAAGTATATATTCTTGAATTCAAAGAAGCTGAGTTCGAGGAAGTGTAATGAGTCTGCTACCCTATGCTGAGCGGCTGGTATGCCGTAGCAGAAAGAAGCCGGCTCCTGTCGGGGAGGGGGGGGGAGGGGGGCGGGCAGTGTCAGATCTGATGGCTTTCTAAATGTGTCTCTTCTCTCCCTTAGGTACAAGTCCTTGTGCCCAGACACTTGGCCGCACTGGCACGGGCCTCCAGCAGAGGGCGTAAAGCGGCTGGTCAGGTACATCGGCTATAAACCTGAGGACTACAAGTTAGGGAGGTAAGTGGCCGGGAAGTTGCTGTGGAAATGGTTTGGGCATTGATCTATATCCATCTAGAGCCCGGAGATGCATTTTTTTTTCAGGAATTTACGTTGATTTCCAAGCAGATAACTTCCATCCACTCCATTTAAATGTGTCTCTTGAAAGAAAAAACTCACCTGTGTGTCTCCTTCACTCTCAATTCTTCACTCACACTCAGAACTCACCACTTACCAACACTTCTGACCCCAGCTAGGTGTCCTGCAATTTAACTCCGTTCTGACACTGTCTACCTGGAGATAGCATCAGGCCCCGCAGGTGAAGACAGCCTCCCTTCCTCCACAGCAGACACCAGTCCCAAGTCCAGGTTGTCATCCATGCTTCTGATGGATTGGCTATAAACTGGAGGTTCCCACAACCCACTCCTTGGGTCCAATGAATATGCTAGAGCAGCCCACAAAACTCAGGAAAACATTTTACTTAGATCACTGATTTATTATAAAGGGTTATAACTCAGGAACAGCCAGATGGAAGAGATGCAAAGGGCAAGATATGTGGGAAGGGCTGGGGCTTTCACACCCTTTCCAGGTGCACCCAGAAACTCCAAACCATGTCCTTTTGGGGTTTTTTTATAGAGGCTTCATTACATAGTGATTGAGCACTGGTGATTAACCTCCAGTCCGTCCCCCCTTCCCTGGAAGTGAGGCTGAATGTTCCAACCTTCTAATCTCAAGATTGGTTTCCCTGGCAACCAGCCCCCATCCTGAGGTTATCTAGAGGCTTTCGAAATATCACCTCATTAGCATGAACTCAAGTGTGGTGTGATCAGGAGGGGGTTGTTATAAATAATAAGACACCCATTTCACCATTATCACTTTGAAGCTATTTCAGAAACAAAACCCAAATATTATAACCCAAGACACCCCTATTGCTCTAATCGCTTAAGAAATTGCAAGGGTTTTGTGGGCTGTGACACTGAAACACAACAATGAGCAAATATGTATTTCTCATCAATCACAATATCACAAGCTCTAAATGGTTAGGAGGGCAATATTGCACCTATTGGAGAAGATCAAGTTATAAAGGAGGCATGTGTTCTAAACCTGATGGGTGGGGAAGGGCTAGGATGAGCCTCTTGGCTTGAAAAAGGAGGGGACTAGGGTGGCTCCCCTAACCTCTGTGTGCCTAGAGTCTTCCATGTTTCAAATGTACGCAGGACTTCTTAGAGGAGATATGAGGACTTACGTGCTGTGAAAGCTCCTCTATCATCCTGGGAAGTGCTTGTCTAGAACTCTAGACCAGGGGTCGGCAAACTTTTGCGATGGAAGAGCCGCCAGGGGTCAGCAAACGGCGGCTCGTGAGCCACATGCGGCTCTTTGGATACATACATGTGGCTCTGAAGTAAAATCGAAAATGAAAATAAAACTATCATCGTTTCATTTATAACATTTTTAAAGGATATTAGTCACATAATGGCGATTATGTAAAAATATATTTATGGCTCTCGAATAATTTTTAAATTGTTGTGATGGACAGGATCGGCTCTCTTCCAGAGGTCGGCAAACTTTTGAGACGGAACGTACCCAGAGAGCCGCATGTGGCTCGTGAGCCGCAGTTTGCTGACCCCTGGTCTAGTTGTAGTTCTGGTGAGCGAACTTTCACATACATTGAAGACTCTGAGGCAAAACTTGTCAGGGTGAAGCAGGAAGATTTTAGTCTATTAGTCATTTTGATCAGGGTTAATATGGTTGTAAGGAACTGTGCCCACACATGAGGGTTTGTTACCAGGACACAGAGATTCCAGCTTCAGGGATGGCTCTGCCTTTGAATCTATCAGCAGACTTGCCCTGCCAACTCCTAACTCCCACTTGTACCTGGCCGGCTGTGGCCACTCTGGCCTCTCTCCATCCCCTTGCTTCTATTCTGGGCCCTTCTCCAAGAAGCAGTTACTTTTCCAAGCCAGATCCCTGAGGGGAATCGGGCTTAGACCTTCCTCAGAGAGGTCAGGCCATGGAGGTTAGAGGGTGGGATCTGTCCCCATTCCATAACCTCTGATGAGGAAGTGGGATTACATGGCATGACACTGCTGTAATCCCCCCCACCCCCCCTGCCCCCCAGTAGCTGTCCTGAGAAGTTTCCTCAAAGGGTGGTAGGTGGGACAGGCAACGGAGATCAGTATTTATAATTTAGCTCTGCTAGTTCATGGGATCTTCTTTTAAAATTAGACATAGCTTTTTTTAAAGATTTTATTGGGGAATTTGGGGAGGGGAACAGATAAGTTGCTGTCCTTTTGTTCTTCAGTCTAGTTGTGGAGGACGTCGCTTCACTGGCCCATGTTGGTATGATCATTGCATTCTTCCTGGGTGAGGCAGTTGCTTGCCAGCCATGGGACAGCCACTCACTGCAGCTCATGGCAGCTTACGAAAACTCACACCTGCTGCCAGCCAGCCCCACTGCAGCCTACGCCGTCGCCGGTGACTCACGGCAGCCCAGCTCCAGGTCGAGCTGTTGTTCACCATCTTAGCTGTAGAGGGTGCAGCGTCACTGGCCCTCATGTGGGATCTGAANTTGTTCACCATCTTAGCTGTAGAGGGTGCAGCGTCACTGGCCCTCATGTGGGATCTGAACCGGGGCCCTGCTGCTCAGAGCTGGTGTCCCAAGCCAAATCCTAACCAACGCGCCACTCGGCCGGCCCTAGACTCATAGTTTTTGTCATCACTTTTAAAAATTATTGTTTCAGTTACAGTTGACATTCAATATTATTTTATACTAGTTTTGGGTGTACAGTATAGTGGTTAGATATTTATATAATTTATGCAGTGATCACCCTGATTAGTACCCACCTGGCACTATACATAGTTATTATAACATCATTGACTATACTCTCTATGCTGTACTTCACATCCTGTGATTATTTTGTAACTACCGATTTGTATTTCTTAATCCCTTCACCTTTTTACCCAGCTCCCCAACCCCCCTCCCCTCTGGCAGTCATCAGTTTGTTCTCTGTATCTATGAGTCTGTTTCTGTTTTGGTGTGGTTTTTTTTTGTTTATTTTGTTCTTTAGATTCCACATATAAGTGACATCATGTGGTATTTGTCTTTCTCAGTCTGACTTATTGCATGTCATCACTTTTTAAAGCCCAGGGAAATAACTTCAGGTTAGAATGGTACATTTGTTTTCTAGGGCTGTATAACAAATGACCACAAACTAGCTGGCTTAAACCAACAGAAATTTATTCTCTTACAGTTCTAGACACTAGAAGTCCAAAGTCAAGGTGTTGGAAGGACCATGCTTCCTCCGAAGGACCAAGGTGTTGGGAGGATCCTTCCTTGCTTTTTCCAGCTTGCAGTGGCTCCTGGCATTCCTTGGCTTGTCGCCACATCACTCCAATCTCTGCCTCCATCTTCACACCATCTTCTTCCCTGTGTCTCTGTGTGTTCTTTTCTGTCTCTTATCAGGACACTCTTGGAATTCAGGGTCCACCCTAATGATCTCATCTCGATCCTTACCTTGATTACATCTGCAAAGACCTTATTTCCAAACAAAATCACATTCTCAAGTTCTGAGTAGACATGAATTTTGGGGGAACACTAGTCAACCCATTACAGATAGAAACTGAACCAACTAATAGTTGAAACACTCTTGGCTGCCTGCCTCAGCCCAACATGGCAATGCACAACGAGGCGGTGACACTGCAGATCCTGGACCCCCGGCAGGAGCTGGCGGAGCTCGTAGAGTGGAAGCAGGAACTGGCGGAAACACTGGCAGACTTGGAGAGACAGACCTATGTGTTTGAAGGAAAGCTACTTAGAAGACACTCAGATGTATGGCAATACTATTCGTGGCTGCGATAGGTATCTGACCAACCAAAAAAACTCCCAATAGCAAAAACGATCAAAGGAACCGGGAGTTTAAGGATGCTGAGTGACTCATCAGTAAATCCTCAGTTACTTCAGCAGCTGCAGTAAGTGCATTGGCAGGAGTTCAGGACCACTTCATTGAAAGGGGAGAACCAGGAAGTGGGACAGAAAGTGATCCTTCTCCAGACTTCCACAATCAGGAAAATGAACCGAGCCAGGAGGACCCTGAGGATCGGGATGGCTCCATGCAGGGAGTGAGACCTCAGAAGGCTGCCGCTTCTACTTCCTCAGGAAGTCCTCACAGCAGCCATAAAAAATGAAAGAATAAAAATCAGCACAGGGGGCGGCCGTGGTTAGAGCACAGGCTCATAACATCAAGGTTGCCGGTTCGATCCCCACATGGGCCAAGGAGCTGCGCCCTCCACGACTAGATTGAAGACAACTACTTGCCTTGGAGCTGATGGGTCCTGGGAAAACACACTGTTCCCCAATAAAATTTCTTAAAAACAAAACAAAAACAGCACAGGATTGATCTGAAGTTAAATAAACAAAACCCCTCCAGAAGCTGGCTGTTAGGAGACTCATTAGTGCAGAAGCTCCCAGGCTGTAGAGCCCTGTTTCCCTCCTCCAACCTCACAAAGATAAACATCCCTCACCTGAGTGCATGATCACCCACCTCTGCTTTCCCAGACCCAGTGCCTGTGACTCAATAGTTCATTCTGAAATGCAATGACAAGTCATTTCAGTAAGACCACACCGGATCATTTACTTTGTGTCACTTTGAGTAGGAAGACCAAGGCATGGTTATCATCCCCGCCAGTTGCTAATGGAATCTCTGTCTGCTTAGAACCCAACCTGGCTGGCACCCGTTTCATCTGTGATACCCATCGAGAAATGGTCTCTGCGTTTGTTGAAAGAAGAACGCAGGTCCCATTTCAGAGGGAGGCTGTAAATACCTGGCATTTTTGTAATTTGTTTGTGTTTTGTCATTTTTCCATTGTTGTTTTTACCATCCTATTTTCTTTCGGGGCCTTTTTGTCAGGCCCTTGGACAGCTTGTACCTTCCTGCCGACATATCTGATAACCTGTTTCATGGAGTTGCCGATACTCTTAACATAATCTGGTTTACCATAAATAAAATGGGGAACTTGACTCTTTTTTTTTTGCAAGGAATAGGAAAAGCTGAAAAACATGTTTAAATCAGTCCTTTTCAAATAGATTTTTATTCTTTTGTCTATATAAAATTTCAGGCTTTGACTTTTCATTGCTTTACTTTTAAACCTGAGATTTTTTTTTTCATTTTTGAATTTATTTGTATCCTGTCTAATGGAAATATCTTTCTTTTCCCATCTTCCCTCTCACTGCTGGTATTTGCCTAATTAAACATTGCTCTTAAAATCATTAAGTCATGTGGAAAGGCTCCAGATTGTACCCAAAGCTGACAAGATAGGGAGTTTTTGAGCTGGAGTGAAAGATAGGATCAATAGGAACCACCAGTGCCCAACAAATCCCCTTCCTTATGGGGATGATGGCCCCAGGAACTCGCTGATAATTGTTATCTGCCTCTGAAGCAATGGCCATCTATCTTGGCTGCACATTGGGAAGCTACCTGGGAAGCTTAAAAAAATACTGGTGCCTGGGTCCCACCCCCAGACACTCTTGACTAGGGTACAATCCAGTTATGGGGGATTTCCTTTCCATGAGTCCCTGGGATTCTGATAGGAGACCCAGTGGAGAACCCCTGCATTAGGAGACTGGATGGTGTGACTGAAATCCTGTGTTGTGACTCAGCCTAAGGAATGAGATTTGGGGCTTTCCCTTTTCTTTCGCTGTAGGCATAGTCCTTCACTTCTGCCCAGATCTTCGTTAGAAAAAACTATGTTCCATCTGTGATAATGTGGGTAGAGTTGAATAGGGGTGGTGTCTAGTATCAAAACAATTCTACCTTGTCAGATGTGCAGAAGCTTTCATTCTTGTTCTCAGATAAACTTTGTTTTGGAAAAGAAAACAAAAACATTAAAACATTTTTTTTTCACTTCTAGAACCAAAATATTCATTCGTTTCTCCAGAACTGTGTTTGCTACTGAAGATGCCTTTGAATTGAGTAAACATCAATTAGGTATGATTTTTTTTTCCCTGCCCTGATTTCAATAGAATGTGAAATGAACACGCTTAGTTTGGGGTACATCTTCAACATGGTATTTGATACACTGTTCCTGGGTTTGGAAACCACGAACAAGATACGGGAATGTGGTAAGATACACGTGAATGTCTGCCTTAATGAGTGTTTGGAGGTCCTCGTGGATGCACACGGAGGCTTAAACACTGTAGTGCTGCCCCAGTTTTAGTTTGGATCTTACTCTGTTGTGCCACATGAGGACCTTAAACCCACGGGAGTCCATCACCCTTCAATGGAGGTTTCAAAAACTTGGTTTGTATGTGTCTGCTGTGGGAAGGTATAGCGGCAAAGTCTACAGCCAGGGTGTTTGCTGTGAATGGTAAACGGGAAAAGTTCGATGGGGGTGGGGGTGGGTGGAGAATGGAAAAAATAAAAAAACTACTGGGCGAGATGGGTTTCTCCCTTGAAATCTAAACTGGTCTGTCTGTTGAGGATGCAGCTCAAGTCATGCGTGTTTGCTGTGTGCCAGTGCATTCCACGTCCTTTGCACTCATGATCTCATTGTCTCCTCAGAACAAACCTATAGCGATAGTATCTCTACTTTACATTCAGGGAAAGCGGCCGGAGATGGTGGTAACTTGCTGGAGGCCACATAGCCGGTCAGCAGCAGAGCTGGGCTTTGAACATGGGTCTCTTTGGCTTCAAGGCCTGGACTCCCAACCACTGTGCTGAATGGTTTCATTTTTTTGACCTCTACCGCAGTGGATAGTGATCACCGGGGTTTGGTTCATGGGCAGCAGCAGCTGGCTGTGGGGTGGCCTGAGTCAGCATTTCTAACCAGCTCACAGGGGATTTGACATTGCTGGTCTGTGGGACTCTGGAGGAGCTTGGCCCATGGTAGGACCTCAGTCGCTGGGAGGGGAACGTAGAACATGTGTGGTCCTACAGCCTGGGGTCATACCCCTCCTTAGCAGCTGCCTTGCCTAGCAGCCAGCAAGGTTCCTCAGTGCCCGAGCCTGCACACCCATTACTAAAATGTGCTGATATCCGCCTTGCAGGGTGGGGTGTGAGGATGAAATATAATGCCTCACAGGAAACCAGGGCCCAGTAGGCCCTCTAGATGGTGGGGGAATGCAAGGGAAAGGAAGAAAGGAAGCTCCTTATTGGACAGCTTCTGACAGCCAGGCTTACTAGAACCTGCCCACTCGCATTTCTGCCCTGCTGCGTGGGCTTCCTCTGTCTGCTCCACAGTGCACACCCCGAGGGCTATTTCTCACATCCCCTCTGAAGGTCACAATGACTCAAACGCAAGAATGAGAGCCATTTCACCGAAACTTTTTATTTTATTTTAAGCTGCGAAAATTCAAGCCACATACAAAGCCTGCCTAGAAAGGAGAGTCTATGTGAAAAAGAGACAAGCAGGTAAGCATTACACAGAAACTTCCCAGTTTCAGTGGGCCAGAACCCCACTATTTTCCTCTCATCTACCCACCTCCTGGAAGCACAGGCCCCTTTGCGCAGCCTCTCTCCCTGCCCGTTCTCGAAACCTTGGTGTGGGGCAGCCTCGGGGTCCAGTTCTGGGGCCTCTTCTCGTTTTTAGTCTGTTGACCTGAGATGATAACATCATGACCTATATTCAGTTCATGGATGTTTTATTTGATCCATAACATGCATGATTAAAGAATAATTTTCTAAAAAGGTTACCAGCACCATGAGTACTCTTGGGTCCCCCCTTTTCTGTCCCTTCCTAATTACTTCTCACCCCGCCCCCGCCCCAACACACATGCCACTCTTCTAATTTTTGCATTTATAATTCCCTTGGGTTTTTTGTTGTTTTTAATATAGTTTTACCATCTATGGATGCATCACTCAACACTACAGTTATAGGCTGGCATGTTTTGAACTTAATAAATTATACTGTTTGTACTTTTTGCAACATTTTTATACTCTAACTTGTTTTTGAAATCCAACCAGTAAATGTGTGTAGATTTAGTTATTCATTTTCATAGCTGCATAGTATTCCACTGTATTAGAGGTTGGCATTCTTTTTCTTTTAAAGATTTTTTTTTAATTGGGGAATTGGAGGAGAGGAACAGCGTTGGGGAATCGGGGAAGGGGAACAGACAAGTTGCTGTCCTTTTGTTCTTCAGTCTAGTTGTGGAGGACATCGCTTCACTGGCCCATGTTGGTATTGTGATCATTGCGCTTTTCCCGGGTGAGGCAGATCGGTCACCGGCCACTAGATGGCCGCTCACAGCGGCTCTTGGCCGCTCACGCTGGCTGCCAGCCACACACGGTAGCTTATGGCAGCCCACTGCAGCTTCACTGCAACCTAAACCGTCGCAGGCAATTCACCGCAGCCCAGCTCCAGGTCGAGCTGTTGTTCACCATCTTAGCTGTAGAGGGCAGTGTCTCTTGCCCTCATGTGGGATCTGAACCGGGCCCTGCTGCTCAGAGCTGGCGTCCCAAGCCAGCTCCTAACCAATGTGCCACTTGGCCGGCCCGGCATTCTTTTTCTTAAAGGGCTGGACAGTAAATATTTTAGACCTGTGGGTCGTATGGTTTCTGCTGAAGTTACTCAACTCTGCTGTTGTAGAATGACAGTAGCTTTAGGCAAATACATAAACGAATGAGCATAGTGGTGTTGCAATTAAAGGTTTTTTACAAAAATAGGTGGCTGGCCCGAGGGCCGTAGTTTACTGACCCCTGTGCTGCATGAGTATTTCATAAGTTAGCCATTTTGTTGATGGGCATTTGGGTTGCTGCCAGTGGGTTGGTTGTTTTTGTAACAGTTACGAGGAAGAAAAGCATGTAAAAAATCTGAGTAACTGAGAAAAATCTGAAATGCATTAAAAAAGTGAGAGACAAGCCAGAAATCTAATTTTTGTGTTCCAATTTGTTTATGTACCCCAATTTTAAAATGTAGACAATTAAACATGGTGAAACAAAACAGTGGTAAGACACATGTATATTGTCACAAGCACCCCTCATCCCCAAAAACGACCTTGGGAAACTCTGGTCCCCTCGCCTAATTTTGGGGCTTGCCTTGAAGCTTCCCATAGCAACCTGGGTTCCTCCGTCTCCCTAGTTCAGTGCCCATCTGAGCAACCCCAAGACGGTCCATTTCTGGGCTAGCGGAGTGCCGTGGCGGGCTTGTCAATGTTTGTGGTATGGATGACCGATTCTGAAAAAGCCTTTTTGTCTTTAAATATGATTGTGCTCACCTTCTAATGCCAGCAGTGAACTCTTTCAGCCATCAAACTTGAAACCCACTGGCGTGGAGCCCTGGCTCGGAAGGAGATGAAAAGGAGAAAGTGGGCTGTGCAGGTTATAAGGAAGTAAGTTCTAGGGTACAGGAGGGAGGAGAGGCCACTTAGTGCTGGTGCTCTGAAGAGGGTGGTCATGGCCTTGGTTTTTACGGATTTGTGTAGAAAGGTAATCTTCCTTTTGGGGATGTCAGTTCTTAAGAATCCAGTGCCATCTCTTCCCTCTGAGCTCTCTAAATTGGTGGTGATCACAGCTCAGTACGTTTGTTGTATCTCTTACGATATGCCAGGCCAGCATTGCCAAATCTTTGGATATTTTTTCAAAACAAGCTGGAAATCTGGGTTTCATGTCATATTTCCCGATTTTTGTTGTTGTTGGCAACAAATTCAAGCTGCTAAAAGCAAAACAGAAAATAGTGTGGGTGAAACAGAACCTATCTTCGGGGGCAGATTTGGCCCGCAGGCTACATTCCTGGCTCTGGCCTACATGACCATCTCAATAATCTTTGGTTTCCTTGGAATCAAACGAATGGGGGAGAGAACACAGTCTCAGTGAAAAAACAGGCCAGAGAAAGAAAAAAAAAAAAAGAAAAACGGGTCAGAAAACCAACAAAATACTTTCCTATTTAGGTTCATAAAGGGATTTATCAATCGAGACAAGCCTCTTGGTCCTGACAATGAGGAGTTTGTTGTGTTCGTGCGGAAGAAATACATCTTGAAGCTTCGGTACTATGTCCCAAAGAATGTCTTGGACAAGAACTGGCTGACGCCTCCTGGTATCTTGGAAAATGTAAGGGCTCCACTGGGACTCATGTTGCAAGTGACTCGGGCACTGATGGAGCTTAACTTTTTGTGTTTCTTTGTGCTGCCTCCCTTGGTTTGAAAGTCCAGCCTTAGCAAAGCACTTCTTTGCAAGAGTGTTGCACAAGAAATCATAATATCCTTACTGGAAGTATAAAAAGCCATTGGAGGTCTGTTTACACAGGGTACTTTTTTTTTTAAAGGTTTTATTGGGGAATTGGGGAAGGGGAACATTGTGTTTTTCCAGGACCCATCAGCTCCAAGTCAAGTTGTTGTCCTTCA